CTCTTTGATGAATATCATGCAATAAGCTCAAGGATCTAACCAACAACCCTTGGAAGAGAATTTTGTTTTTCCAATAGAGTTGCTTTCTGAGACTGTTGATGATACTTGTACTGATTTATTTGCAGCTGATTTTCCATCATTATCTAATTTTGATGATGTTTACTCTTGTGATGTTTGTACTGATATTAAAATTTGCTCTGTTTGTGCTGAAATTGAGGCAGCTTTGCAAGTTGATATTCTTACTGCATATGAGGTTGTAAATGAAGTTGCCCATGTGGATGAAGCTCTCGACATTCTGGATTCCCGAAACAAATCATCCATCGAACAACCACCTTCCCGAGAGCTGAAACTAATTCCTGAAAATCTTAAATATGCTTATTTAGATATGAATGAAAAACTTCCGGTTATAATTCCTTCTAAACTTTATTTTGATCAAGAAAGTAAATTTTTGCAGGTATTGGAGAAGCATAAGAAAGGAATTGGATGGATCTTGGATGATATTTATGATACTAGTTCGTCCATGTGTATGCATAGGGTCTCACTTGAAGATGTAACAAATATAATGAGGCAACCCCTCAATCTTTTGATCTTTGGTGTTGTGGAAAAGAAGATCACGTGCCCATTCAACACTTTTACTTATCAAAGATTCTTCTTTGATCCTGGAATAAAAGGTGAAGGCACTAATAAAAATTTCAAGTTCAATGAACATTACCCAAATCTACTCCATGAGAGTCCCACGTTGGAAGAATAAACTATAAAAGAGATCTCATTGCGAAAGGCTACTTATGCAATCATCTATCCACCTTGACTCCTCGGGTGTGTTCTTTCCTCTCTCCTCGCTCTTATTTTATGCTTGTTTCTTTCAATGAGGACAATGTGTGTTTTAAGTGTGGGGGAGAGAATTATTTATTTGTTTTGTTTTCTTTGCTTTTGTTCGTTGTTTTATTTTCAGTTATAAAAAAAATAAAAAAAATACACATCTTTTTGAAAGTTTTGGGTTATAGATTAATCTGAGGTTAGTTGTAGAGACTTGGGAAAAGTTCACAAGATCGGTATCATCTTAACACTATAAGTCTCATGCATATGGAAGTTAATTTGAATTTTTATTATGATGTAGCCTTGAATTCTCATCTTTTAATAGCACTTGAGTAGTTTATTTCAGCAGTCAGCACCATCTCACATGCACTCTACGCAGGGAAGCCGGTGAAAATAAGTGAGTGATCCAAGTTTTATTTGGAAAAAAAAGGAAAGAAAAATGAATGCGCCTTCTAAGTTTGGTGACCCTTGTAACGCCCGTAATTTAATTAATTATTTAATTAAATTATTTTTGGAATATTTGTGAAGATGTGTTATAATTAATTGGATTTATTTTATTAAGTGGAGAAATAATATTAGAGATATAATATTATGTGGTGAAATAATATTAGAAGTATAATATTATTTGATGTGGGCTTATTTTGAAGGAATAGAAGTAATAAGGGGTGTATTGGTTTTAAGCCCAATAAGGAGTAAATAGAATAATAGGGTTATTTTATTGTTGTTGGAATAGAATAGAAAGAAAGAAGCAGTAGAAGAATAAGGATTGAGATAGAACATGCAAGCTGCTAGAGAAAGTGGAAAACGACAAGAACGAGAATTCAACCGGAAATTTGTAGAGCGACCTTCAATCCAAGGTAAGGGTGGGGTTCTGACTCTATAATTGGGTTCATGGTGATTGATATGTGGGGTTAGAGGTGATTGTTGTCTTGTTCTTGAATTGAAAATATATGATTGTTGTATGATGAGAATTGATGAATTTTAGATGAATAATGATGCCATGATGTTGTTCGATTGATGTAGAATTATAAGGTAATTGTGAGTGATGATTATCCATGAATATATTAAGTTTTAGGGCTTTAGGTATGAACCGTAGTGAGATGTAGGGAAGAAAACGCAGAATTATGCAGGGAAGAGAAAACGCAGAACTTTGTGTGAAGAATATCAAAAGTTGTTGTATTAGAATAATGAATTAATTTAGGGATAGAGTTTGTCATGTTGTTCTTAGTTAGGTTGACCTCAGGCTAAGAATTAAAATAGTAGGAGGAATAAAAAGTAGCAGTTCTGATAGTAGAAGCTGTTAGAAGTTGCGTTGGATTATTAGAAAGTAGAAGTTCTGATAGTAGAAGCAGTGGTGGTTAGAAGTTGTGTTATCAGAAGTTGTATTGGTCAGAAGTTGTATTGGTCAAAAGTTGTAGTGGGTAGAAGTTGTATTGGTCAGAAGTTATGTTGTCAGAAGTTGAGTTAGTCAGAAGTTATGTTGTCAGAAGTTGAGTTGGTCAGAAGTTGAGTTGGTCAGAAGTTATGTTGTCAGAAGTTAAGTTGGTCAGAAGTTGTGTTGTCAGAAGTTGTGCTGCCAGAAGTTGTGTTATTAGAAGTTATGTTATTAGAAGTTGTGTTGGTTAGAGGTTGTGCTGGGAAGAAGTTGTGTTGACCTTTGAGTTGTTTTTGTACAAAATGAGGAAGGTTATATGCTTAGAAGCTGCTGTTTGAACGATAACAGTAGGATAGTGATGGTAAAGACGTAAGAGTTACAGAATAGCAGTATTGATTTACTGTGGACTTAATGTACAACTGAGTTGTTAGTGAGAAGTTATTCATGATGTTCTGTTGATGACTTATAATAAATAAATGATGTTTGATGATTTAAATTAAATATATGATGTTTAATGAATTATTTTGATGATATGAGATGTTGATAACGAGACGTTAAGATGCATTTGAGATGTTGTTATTTTGAGATGCTTTTGAGATGTTGATTTGAGATGTTTTTGAGATGATTTGAGATGTTGTTAACTTGGGTGTTGTTATTACATTCATAGTTGTGTCGCATACATTTCATTTTTGAGATGGAGCTTATGCTCGTTGAGATGGCCTGTATTGGCGCATTTTGAGATGAAGGCTAGGCCTTGTTGATGCCTCTATTAATTGGCAAATTTTTGAGATGCGAGTTCTGCTCCAATGGTTCCACATGCATTTGCATAGTATTGAGTCGCATTATATGATTGAATAAAGAAGTGTATTTTGATGGTGATGAATGTGTATATACATTGTAATTATTGTTGATTATGAGATGAGAAGTGGTGATGTTATTGATCTAATTTAATATATTAATTATCATCTGCTTTATTATATTGTTAGATATCTCACCCCTTCTATTTGAATGTTGCCCTTATGTTGGTAACGTGCAGGTAATCGAGAGTGAAGGCTGTATACCTTCAATAGTTCGAGTCGGTGTCATTGCTCTGATATGTAACACTCAGGGGATGGATGCTTGCTGTTTTTGATTGTTGATTATTATTAAATTGTGTTGTTTCGAAGTTGTTGTATTGATGATAAAATTGTTATTGAGAATTCCGTTGCATAGATGTTGAATTATTTAATTAAAGATGTTATGATGGTTCATCCGATGTTTTGAAAGTGTTATATATCCATGATGAAATGCAATGAATTTGTTAGAAGAATTTGTGACGTCCCGATTCGTTTGCATGATTGAATTTTATAACTCTGATTTATTTATATAATTGCTTGGGGTAGAATTGGGGTGTTACACTTTCCTTCCTTGTAGGTGAGTAAACAGAAATTAGGGTTTTAAATGTAAGAAATTAAACAGAAACTTGTGAATTTAGAAGATAAAATATGAGAACAAAAAATTAGGGTTTTAAATGTACCTTGTATAACCCACATCCATAGAATCTCTGCCCTGAATTTTGAGATGTCTATGCAATCACAAGTGGTGATTCTAATCCGCGGTAACAGAGCATAATTCTCCTCCTAGAATGAGAAGAAGAACTTGATACTTGAACAAACTAAGAACCCATAACAACTTGAAACACAACCCATACGCTTTGGAACGAAGAGAAAGATGAAAATTTTGAAATGAAGAGAAAGATGAATATTTGTTACGAAGAGCTAAGAATGCAATTTGAAATAGAGATACTGAGACTGAGACTTGAAACGAAGAGTATGTAGGGAAACCATTTCAACTAAAGTACGGGAAGAAACTCAATTTAGTAGTTCCGATAAAACTAAGTTTGTTTCTATACAAAAAATCTTGACAATATATTTTAGAACCTCATTTCATTCATCATTTACAATCTCATCCAAAAGACACTATTTAAATGATTTTAAAGAAGTATTTCCATTGCAAATGCTCAAGTCTTTATAAACAAAAATCATACTTAAATAAAGGATACCTAACTGGCTTGATTAGTCAAGTATTACTAAACTTAACCTGTACAAAGTATGAGGAAATAAAGTTGAGCATTTAATTAAAATAAATGTATATATCAGGACAAATGACAATGACAGGATTAAATATCTCTTTAGAAAGTTGCTACTTACTTTCTAGCAACTTGCAAGCTAACAAATAGGTAATTTCTTGAAGGAAAACTCATTAGATGACACAAAAGGCTTGATAAGCAGGAAGTCATGCATGACATGAAATATACATAGTCAAGGAAAAATCAAGAAAACTTTAAAGACTACATCAAGAAAAAAATTATTAAAGAACTAATCTGCATACAATAGCCAATTTCTTGAAGGAAAACTCATTAGATGACACAAAAAAAGGCTATACATAGTAAAGGAAAAATCAAGATAGTCTCAAGAAAACTTTAAAGACTATATCAACAAAAGTCTTATTATAGAACCATTCATCATACACAGTAAATGGATAACAATGTGAACAAACTACAAATTTCCCAAGAGGCATGGTGATCTTCAATATCCACCATTGGCTCGACCTGAGGCATGGGAGACATACCTGCAGTAGTGAAGCCAACAACACAACCTCCATGTCCATCAAGAGCAGAACAGGTTTCATCTGACACCAAACCTGCAACATCTGATATAGTAGTCGCTCCTTCTGATGTTCCTCGTCCTTCACCTCCTAAGATAGTCATAAGCAGTCGCAACAAGATTGATATGCGGAAATGGTAAATACACACTGTGCACAACTATCTTCACATTGCGAATGGCATCAGCCCCTCTGGTTCTAAGCCTCTGTTCCATATTACATAGAAGTATACTAATAAGATCCTTTGCCTCTGCTGATAGTTTAGCTTCTTCTGGATATTTTAAATAATTTCTCCAATTGACTATATGAAAATATGAAGGTAGGAGATACAATATGATGATAAAGATTTAAAAAATCATAGGCAGTAAAAAGGAAGAAGATAGACCCATAATATAATTTTAATAACTGACATGTGTCATCAAACTATAAATTATAAAATATCAGTACTGGTCAATAGGTTCAAATATATCATTAGCCATATCCTTGATACAACAATATCCTAAAAACATGGTAGTAGTAAAATATAATACTCTTCCCAAACCCTTAAAATGATACCAAAATCTTCATGAAGAATATATAAAACAGAACGAAGAATATACCAAAATTGTCTTCACAAACAGCTGCAAGGTGCTCTCCGTGACAGGTTTCAACAGCCAGCTCAACGAATTCACGCGATCGATGAAAAGAGATAACACAGTAAGATTTTTTGTCCGAATAGAATTTAGCAAGATAAAATGAATTTGTATAATGTTAAAAAGATGTTGCAGTTCACCATTAGTAGCAACAACAACAACTTTCTCAGGTGTAGTCGGCTTATTTTCTGCAGAATCTGTGGTGGTAGAAGCAGTTGGTATTATACTCAAATAATACAACAACAAAAATGTATAACATACCACATAAGCACAAACAAAATCAAGCTCTTTCGTAAAGTTTTCTTTTCGCTTCTCCATCTCCGCAGCAGACTGGAGTGAACACGAATATATCGAAGCATAATATCACAATAGTCAATATGCTTGAAGAAAACAACAACTTGATAGATAATTTCAAGATTGACATTGTTATAGCCGCAAAAAATAGTTGTTTAGTGAAGGTGTTATAAACATGTAGGAAACATACCACTCTCTCGAACCATCAGTTTGACGACACCGATATACCAACATCTTCAACACCTGTTGTCGTTGGTGAGGAATATGTTGGAACACTGAGAATTTACATTAAATTGTATTCAGTAAACATCACAAGAATTTCATTTCATTTTTATTTTATTTTTCTTAGTATAAGAGAATATCTAACACCTTAAGATCTCGGTGGATTACACGATTAGAATGCAAGTAGTATACCGCTATCAATAGTTGAGTTAGGCACTTTCAGACCTTATGCACTTCAAATTGGAATTCCATAATGAGTAATGAATATTCATAATAAAATGTTAAGGAATTGACGATTAAGCTATTAATTACCTCCTCTGGAAAAAACGATATGCGAGCTTTCTTAATGCTCTCGGCCCTGCTCCACAAAGAATACAAAGTACCATCGTTAGGACTTTGTGTCAATGATAATTGTTGTACCCCAAAATTTGCCCTCCCATTTCATCAATATTTTCTCACCACAAGACCCTTGGCGCTCAAGATCAAATCAGGGTTTGCTCTGCTCAAGACTCCTCCTTGCACTGTTGACCCAAATTAGGGTTTGAGTTTGCACAAAGTTGTTTTGACCTAAAAGGCCCAAAGTTACTTTCATGCTTCATGTTGGACTTACAAGTTTATCCATACCAAGTTTCAAGTCTTGATTCCAATCTTTGCCCAGTCAATTGGACAGTTGACCTAGAAATCAACTGTATTGGGGAAAAAGTTAACTGTGGCCAATTGATAGTCAAACCTCATGAAATTTGACCCATATCAACATATTGAACTCATATGAACCATTTGGTCAAGTTTGGATCACAATTCCACAAGAAATTTGATCAGATCACCAAAAGGGCAAAATGGTCATTTTTAGGGTTTTGACTGCACAAAGGCAATTTTTGACTGTTTGACCTAAACAATGGCAAACCAAGCTCACATATGGACTCAAGGACTCAATGGCTTTGTCTGGATCCATTCAACAATTTCAAAAGATCCCAAATGCACAAGATTGACAGATGAATTTTCCAGTCAACTAATCAAAATTTGACTGTATACTGAAAAGTCAAACTTTGACTTTTTGGTCAAAATCAAGTGCCAAGATTCATTTTTCATCAAGACATGTCAAATTATGAAACTTGTTCATCAAGAAACCCAAAATTGCAAATTAGGGTTTAAAATGAAGAAATTTCATAACTTAGAAATTTTCTAAGTTATAAAATTTCCTTATTTTTTCCTAACTTTGTCCCATTTTTTCACCAAGATGAAAATGGATTCAAACAAAACTCAAAACATGAAAGTTGTAGTCCATTGCAAAATCTACAACTTTGATTCACAAAGTTTCCTCAAAAGAAGCTTGTAGATCAAGTTATGATTTTTGGAATAAGGGTGCAAAACATTCTTAACTTAGAAAATTTTTGACCTATTCTAGGCAGGATTTTTGTCCAACTTCATGGCCACTTTTCACATGCTTCCACTTGGAATTTAAATTTTCATTACAAAGATGGATTGTAGTATACATTCCAAGCTTTTCAAATTGTCCAAGAACTTATCAAACACCCTTGTGGTTAGGGAGAATCGAATTTGCAAAGATGGGCAAAAGTCACTTTGTTCATAGCCAAATACATGTTCATAACCTTGGCATTTTCAACTCAACATTGTTTAGGCTAGTTTTCAGGCCTCTAATACTCTTCACACTCCATAATTAAATGCATATCCTTTGTGTTAGAGTGTTATTTTGTTCATTTGGACAATACACACAAAATCAATCCTTAATTAGAAAAAGCAATTTTGCCATTTTAGAAAAGTAAGGCTTTATGTCAAATTCTGGATCTTTGAAGTACAGGCCATATCTTTGAGGCACAAGTTTATGGACAAATCCCACTGATCAAGAACAAAGTATGCAGCATGCTTGAGGGACCTGCATTGGCCTATAACCCAAGTTGCATATCTTTGCTTATTAGAGAAGAAAAGTGGCAAACTCATACCAAGCTCTCATTCTTGTAAGAACCAGCAAAAGCAAACTTTGTAAACACATTTCATACTCCCTAACTGACCTAAAGCACGACCAAACCATCTTCAATACCTCCTCATTCATCAAAACACCATTTTTCTGCAAGAAACAGGGCATGCCTGCAGTTTGACTTGGCCAGCATCATTCACTCGTGCATTTTTGCCCAAACAAATTCCAATACATTCCCTACCATCCATTGAAGCTATTCCAAGCCTTAGATACAAGCTGTAACATCCATAGCCAAGTGTGCCATTTTCACTTTTCAGTTTTGCAGGTTGACTTCCATAGCTTGATTCAGAGCGATTCAAAGCAAGCTAAGCATAGGGGAGGCATCCTTGGACTTCAGGAAAGCTGTACCAAAGTTCAAACTCCATTGAAGATACCTCCATTGTTGTACACGACTCAAGCTGAACAGGTAAAAATGTGAACTTCTATCTCTCTATCCAGGCATATTTAGGTTTAAGTTTGTGAAGAAAGCATGTTCTACTCATAGCCCTGAAGCCATCTGTGATACGGTGGGAGAACTGACTAGGGTTTTGCATTTGTTTTCGCAAATGTTTCGGTTGAGCAAGAGTCGCCACCGACTTTTTATTTTATCCTAAGGAATGGTTTAAAAAGCACAGCAAAAACCTTTGAGATTTTTCTTGGGTTCGGGGAGTAGATTATAGAAAGGGAAGGTATTAGCACCCTTTCTATCCATGGTTATCCATGGGCTCTTAGGTACTTGCTTAGATCAACTTGCCTTGGTTTTCAATTGTTTGAAATGGTGCTTGGTGTGTGGTTTTTTGAAAGTGTTTTGAAAAGATGCCTTGTATAGGCTACCCTTGTAACAATTCTTTACTCGAATGTTTTACAAAAGGTGTTTTGTCTTTAGAAAAGATGTTTCAAGGTTTTTTTTTTAAAGTTTGTTTTGAAAGTGTTTGTGAAGCGTGGTTTGAAATTAGGCAAGTGTTTTCTTTGCAAATTGACAAGTACTTAAGAGTTTATCTACCCTAAAGTTTTCTCAAAGATTTTTGTTATGTTTTAAACCTTTTGACAATTTTGTTCCACCATTGCATTTGGTGGGCAATCTTGTCTTAAGAGGTTGAAGGGACGGGCGCGGGTCATCGTTTAGACCATAATTGCAATAGTGTTAAATGTCTTTGGGCAATTTTTCTTAAAAAAGGGACTTGATCATTCACTTAGGCAACATTTTGAGGGACTATGATCATTTGATTGTTTGTTTTACCCAAAGAAGTTCAACATACAATATGGCCCAATTTATTTGAAGGCAACAAAGTGGAATACCCTAGGGGTGCAAGTGTGAAATGTGTTGTCCATTTTCATGCCTTTTTGTCTTGTATTAGGTCAAACTATTTTTTTTTCATTTTATTCGCATGTAAACCCTAACTCTAGCATAGTATATTTAGAAAGCGATAAAGTGCGAAATTTAAATTCCTACACTATTACAACACAATAATATGGGGTGGGGGGTACAATGTCTCAAATGGGGTATGTTTAGACAAAAATTTAAACCTAACTATTACATCATTTCCTTTGCATATTTACAAGACAAATAATTGTATAATTAAATGGAAATTGAAATAAATATGCAAAAATATAAAAAAAGGAATTTTTATATGTATGCAAAAAAGATATTATTTATGTGAAATAAAAAGAGAAATAACAAGGTATTATTTTTTGGAGTATTTTCAAATTTAGGACAAAACCCTAATTTTAATCAAAATGGTATTAGTTATTTAATATTTGTAATATTTACTATTTATATACAAAAATAAGATAAAAATATAATATACTTAAAAAATGTATTTTTAGTATTAAATATTAAAAAATAAAATAGGTACATTTTTTGGTATTTATATCCTAAGTGCATTAATATATTTCTATCTATTTATATTATTTACAAACTATGTTTTATATATATATTAATTAATAATATTTAATATTTAAATAAAAAAAGTATTTTTCTATAAAATATTTTCAGGAAGTAAAAATAAGATAATGTATGTAAAAATGTATTTCCAATATTTTAATATTTTAAACAAAACATATATATTTATTTATTTGTGTATAAACTTAAGAGAAAAAATTAAATAAATCCCTAATAAAAATAAAAAATGATGAGAAAAAATATTTTTAAAATTTTAATATGCTGAAAAAAAATAAATGAGTTAATTAAAAAAAGAAAAAGTCAAAAAACATTAAAAATAAAGCAAATGGGCTCATGGGGTGTAAAACCAATTGTAGGGTGCAAAAAGAAAACACAAAGCAAGCCCAGCCCAATGCCACCTTTCTTCAACCTCTGAACTGTGTCATTAAAAAAACGCGCGCCCTGTTCTTGATCTTCTAACTCCTGATTCCTGGCTTATTAATGAAAACTCATAACATAAAAAATGTTCAGCATCAAGAGACGAATCCAACCATATACAGAACTTGATCTAACTCTCTAAGATGAGGGAGAATTTCTTCTCCCCCAAATCCTAACCTAGATTTTCTGTCATTTTCAAACCTCAAATTCTCACAGCTCAAGTAAAAGAAATGAAAAGTAAAAACATGTACATGTTCAGTGGCATGAGTAGAACATTGTTTATTCACAAACTTAGAGCTAATGATGCTTGATAAGAGAGATAGAAGTTCACCAAGATACCTGTTCAGCTGAAGTTCTATCTGGCAATGAGGAAGCTTTCAGTGCAAGGTGATGATTGGAAAAGCTTCCTTGAGGTCCAGGGATGCTATTCCAATGTTTACTTTGTCTTGAAAGCTTTTGAATCGTGCTAGAGCACTTCACCTGCAAAACAAGAAACTGAAAATGGTG